ATATATATGCATTGTATAGCGACGGCTTAATTTGGTTTCATCCCTCGTGACGTTTGCCACAACGTGTACTGCGTGGCTGCAACTACTATTACTGTTGCTGCCCATCAAAAAACGTTATAAGATATCTATAATATTGTGCACCACATATTAATAAAATATGAGTTTCATATTGATAGTATTAAGCACCACCTATTAATAAAATATAAATTTTGTAATATAGAGTTGGAACTCATAAGTAAAATCTACTTTTTATTAGTAATAGCTTAACACTAACTACGCCACCTTCTGCTGATGATCTGCAGAATAGCGTTTTTTTTTTTTTTTTGCTGATAATATGAGATCTTTTATTCAAAGCTGTACATTACAATATAAGACTTGTTTATGGTGGGTACACACATAAAAGGAAATATCCTGTTTTGCCTTGTATATGTGCGTGTTTGTGTCCTCAGTATTTGTGCAATAATGTCCCATCTTAAGGTCCCTTTTACCAGTAAATAATCTCAATTTTTTAAGCTAATAGCCGTTTCTAATAATTAATAGAGATCAAAAGACAAAAATGCCATATAACCAAACCAATTGTCTAAAAGAGAGTAAGATGGATAAATTAGTCATTAGCATAGTAAATTTGTATTTTATAGTTGTATTAAGTGGACATTTGCTAGCTAACTGACCTTATTATATACATGCAATTACTGTAAAATTCTTGCTACAGAACTCTACCATAAATTTGAAGGGGGGGTAGGAAAAAAAAAACAGAGAGAGAGCCCATCATGGTGTGTGATGGTTCAAACGTAATAGAACAAAATGATAAGGGTGTCAATTTGTGTTAGTGGGTCGCATTTGTGTCAACATGTTCATTAATTGTGTCAGAAAATATCAACCCAAACACGATCTGTTTATTAAACGTATCAAAAATGTCAACCCAAATACCATCTATTTATTAATCGTGTTAATCATGTCAACTAGTATAATCTGTTTAAATTAATAACGACCAATTAAACATAGTCATGACAGGTTTAACATGTTTATTGGTCAATTTATCTTTTCCTTTAAGAAAAATGAATGAATTTTACCTACAAATATTAAAATTCACATTATTTGTATTTAATATGTCATATGAACTTTCATGTTATATCACATATCATTAAATTACAGATGACACGTATAGTTAACCGTGTCAATTTATGTCACTTCATGTTAGAATGTCAACCCTAACTCAACTCATTTATTAATCGTGTTAATCATATCAATCTGATTATGATCCAAACTCATTTATAATAAATTCAAATCTACTAATTTTGTGTCAATTTTAAATCGTATTATCATATTACTACCTAAATTGTCAGCCCTACAAAATGGTAGCTTCACTTTTTTTGAGCAATGAAACATATAGCCAGGCCACACTTCTTTAAAAAAAAACAAAAACAAAAACAAAACAAAATGGTACTTACACTTTTTTATGCAATGAAATATATAGCCATGCCACACTTCCTTTACAAAAAAAAAAAAAAAAAAAAAAAAAAAAAAATTGACCTCGAAGATCTTGATGAATATGTGGACCATATGTACGGCTGGCAAAAATTTATTACAACAAACTGTATAGGCGTTTGCTTTTGTATAAACGGAATCCAAGATTCGTGGCAGCTGGCATTAAGTGGACATTTGCTTGCTAAAAATGTATATAGGGAAAATTAAAAATTGATTTTGCTTGTCCAAACAATCCACTAAGCTGTTGTCTGGCATTTTAGTTTGTAAAGTCTTTCATTGTGATAAGCATTAATCTATATATGTTTATATCTTTAAAAAAAAAAAAAGATTCATTTTTCTGTCAAGTATTATAATACACGTTTCATATACATACAATCATGTTCAAGTACTATATTCTTAAATTGACATAACTTTTTCTGCTATTTAGAAATAAAACAAAAAAAATAGGGATCACCTGGTGAATATTTAGGTGAGTTTGCATTGCAACACGTAGAATCCACGTATGGTCTAAATATATATACAACTCATTTATCAAGCACCCAGCATATTCTCAGTTGACCCGGGAGATCCATTTCGTTTAGTTGAATGCCACGTTGACTGATCAAATATTTATATTATAATACATGCAATACACAAAAGAGATTGCATATCATTTATCACATTTTCACTATTGTTTACTTAATTAAAAAAAAAAAAAAAAAAAAAAAAAAAAAAAAAACCCAAAAATCCAATAGATTCTATGAGAAATGACTACTGCCTTTACTAGTTTATATTAATTTATTTATCTATAGGATTCCACCTGTATATATATATGTCTTAAGTTGTTAAAAAATGCTTTTTGGTGGTAATTCAGTCAAGTCTCAATATTTAGTTTCAATCCATATATAAATCATACATTATTGTCTTTTTAGTTTTACTTATTAGAGGTGGTACCCTGATGGTCTAAACAAAAACAATAAATGTGATTTAAATACTGTCCTCATAATTTATATTTTGGACTTTTTTATTCGGGTTATTTATTGTCTTCATCGTTTTTATTTATTTATTTATATGGATCTATAATTCTTTTCTTCTTTTTTTGGGCATAGGACGGTTTGGCGGTGAATAGGGCGTGGTGCCCTGTAGTCACCAGCTCTTTTCTTCTCCATCTACTTTCCTTGCGTAATTAATTCATGAACTACAATTTTGAACCATGCTTCAAATATTTATTGTTATGGTTTAAATATAAAATTGTTGTTAGAATAACATTCTCTATGATTCTTTGTTTGTGAAGTAATGTATATGACACAACTAATTTCTGATTACATTATAATCGTTTCCATATGGATATATATGAAACATATTAGTTGATGAATTAAAGAAAATACTCTATGATACCTACCTAGGAGATTGACTTGGAGCAAAATTAGATCATGGTGATCATTCCCAGTAAAAGATCCCTACAAAATAACATGTAGAAGTGAAGAACATAACGTTGATGTTGGAGAGATGTAATATAATTTTTAAATGACAACTTTTTTAATTTTTGTAGAGGGTGAAATTCTACAATTAAATTTATATGAGACCAATAATTAAATTTAGATAATTAAGATATATTAGTGTTGTGATCGCAGTAAAATAAATCAATAGAAAATAAATAGAGGCAGGAACACATCAAATTTTATAGAGATTCACTTATTAATTAGAGTTGTGTTCTCTATATGGTTTTCGGATCTTCCTCTATAATTTTTGAACAAAATTACAATGGTTCTTCAAGCAAAAAGGGAAAAGTATGAAATGTGGCCGTGTTTGGAATTTATTCCATTTTTATTTTTCAAATTTTTCGAGAAAGAAAAAATGAAAATATTTTCAAAACGGCGTTTGGCGCAATAAAGACAAAAAATGGAAATGAAAACGATTTTTTGATTTAGTGTAAAATAAGAGAGAAATGAAAAACGACTTTTAGTCATTTTTCATTTTTTATTTTCATTTTCTCCTCTCTCGAGCATAGAGAGAGAAATAGAGACATTAATGGGTCCTTTTTACACTGAAAATAATCTCTTAATAAAACTATCAAACACATTTTTAAAAATAATTTCTGTCTAAGATTAAAAACGTTTTCATTTTTATTTTCATATAAAAAATAAAATCATTTTAGAACGAGTTTCAAACGCGCCTGTGTATTTTCATTTAGGGAAGCATGCAAGGATGTGAGAGCACGTGTTAGAATGCGTGAACCCTTGTCTTCGGCGTGTATGGTCTCTTTTTTTAAGCTCTTGATGACAGAAAATCTAGTTTTGAGCAGATTCCGTTTGTCTTTTTATAGCAGATCCTTTAGGTAAACTTTCCATGTAAAGAAGATGCTTAGTGAGCAATCAAATTTAATATTTGACTCTCTTTTGTTATTCTAGGTGTAATCCCTTGAGAATATGCTGGGAATATTCAAGTGAAGGGAAATATTTTGTGTAAATCTTGGATGTTAGGCTTGTATGGTCGTCTGACGACTCGTTTGATGAGCCGTTAATTTAGTCGTTATAATATTCTGTGATTCGTGAGCTGTCGACAGTTCGTGGTTCGTTTTGGCTGCTGATGATTTCGTGATTATCCTTCATTCTCTAACACGTGTGTTGACACGTGTATCGTGAAAAAATAAAAAACGAAATTTAATCTTAACAATTTTATACCTCTTATATGTTATTATTATATTTAATAATGTTATATTACGTTTTTTACTTTTTTATATATATCCAACTTCTGTGAGAATATCTCTAACAATTTAAGGATAAACCAAGTGACAACATACATGAATTCCACCCACTTCCCATATGCCTTAAAGCCTAAGAGATATATTCAGAGGAAAAAAAAATAGAAAATAAGACATAAAAATAAAAGACTAAGAGATATATTGACCGAAGTACGTAGTTATATTTGGTCAAAAGTAGTGTGTGGCAATTGGCAAAAGAGACAACCAAATTCAAGTAAACCATGGAGTGAAGGTTATCACAGCAGCCAAGTTTGTGTTGGTTTGCGGAGCGCACCACCCATTTAATTTTGTCTTGTCGGCCCCAAAAATAAAATAATAATAATAAAAAGTCCAAAGTTTTTCATTTTCCTCAAAACAACACGAGTTAGAGAGAGAAACAAAATTCACAACAAAAGGATGCGTTGAGAGAGAAAGTCAAACGTTAGGCTTTTCTCTTTTGGCAATGAGTTATTATAACATATCATGCCATGCATTTGCATGTGCCTATTTACTTGGTAAAGTATGTCATTTTTGAGCCCTTCAAATAATAATAATTATTATATTAATAATAGGTTTAGAAAAGTCAAACCTTCTTTCTATTTCTTTTTTTTTTTTTTTTTTTTTTGCTTCTCTCTCTCTCTCAACGCTCTTCAATCTTTTCCGTGTTTTGACTTTCTCGTTTTGAAAATCTCACTCCTTCTCTTCTTCTTCCCTTCCCCTTCTTGCACACATATAAAATGCCCTATCTTCTCTCTTTCAAAAAAAATTTCCCTCAACATCTTCAAACCAACTTTCTTACACATCTTCTGAGTTTTCTCGCCATCCAAACACTCTTTTTCGGAGTTTAATTTCTATAATCAGAGGTTCTAATACAAAGACATGGACACAGAAATCGATGTTCCTCCGTTCTTTCTCTGCCCTATTTCTCTGGAAATCATGAAGGATCCGGTGACGGTCTTGACGGGGATTACCTACGACAGGGAAAGCATCGAGAAATGGCTGTTTTCCGGGAAAAACGACACTTGTCCGGTAACCAAACAGGTCCTTTCCGATTCCGATTTGACTCCGAACCATACGCTTCGCCGGTTGATCCAGGCCTGGTGCACGATGAACGCTGCTCTCGGAATCGAGAGAATCCCCACTCCAAAGCCGCCGATCAGCAAATCTCAGATCGCGAAGCTTCTCAGCGACGCCAAATCCCCTCAATCGCAGATCAAATGCCTCCGGCGGCTCCGATCTATCGCCGCCGAGAGCGAGACCAACAAGCGGTGCCTGGAATCCGCCGGCGCCGTCGAGTTTCTCGTCTCTTTGATCGCGAACGACAACAACGAAAACGCCGTTTCGTCGCCGTTGTCGTCCTCCGAAAACGACGAGTCGTTTGATTTCGCGAGATCTGCGAGCGACGAGGCCTTAACGATCTTGCACAATCTCCATCTCTCGGAAACTGTGCTAAAAAAACTAATCGACAGAAATGGTGAATTCGTCGACTCCTTGACGAGAGTAATGAGACAAGGAAGCTACGATTCAAGAGCTTATTCAATAATGCTGTTGAAATCGATGTTTGATGTCGCTGATCCGATGAGGATGATCAGCTTGAGAACGGAATTTTACGCCGAATTGGTCCAAATTCTACGCGACCAGATCTCGCCGCAGGCGTCGAAAGCCGCGCTGCAGCTCCTAGTCCAGCTCTGCCCGTGGGGGCGGAACCGGATCAAGGCGGTGGAAGCTGGCGCGGTGGCGGTACTTATCGAGCTCCTATTGGATTCCGTCGAGAGGCGGCCTTGTGAGATGATCCTAACGGGGCTAGACCTAATGTGCGGGTGCGCGGAGGGGCGGGCGGAGCTGATAAGGCACGCGGCGGGGCTCGCCGTGGTGTCAAAGCGGGTGCTGAGGGTGTCTCACATAGGGAGCGAGAAGGCGATGCGGATACTATTCTCGGTCGCGAGATTCTCCGCGACGCCGGCGGTGCTGGCGGAGATGCTGCAGCTCGGGGTGGTGGCGAAGCTGTGCCTGGTGCTGCAGGTGGACTGCGGGGGGAAGACTAAAGAGAAGGCGAGGGAGATTTTGAGGCTGCATGCAAGGACTTGGAGGAACTCCCCTTGTGTGCCCATGCGCTTGTTGGCTTCCTATCCAAATTGAGAAACAAAATTGATGGACATTGATCATGTGCTAATTTCCTTAGTTTCTTTGCCTTTTTTGGGGATGATTACTGTACATATTTGATTGGGTTGGATTTTGGTATACTTGGAAATTAATCAACAGAAGCAAATCGAAAATTAATTTGTTTTCTTTCTTTTCCCTTCTGGGAGATAATTTGATAGTTAATTACATGAAATATGATTCACTCCTATCTGTAATTGTCTTGCATATTTTTTTTTTTGTAACTGTTTTATTTTTTTGTTGTTAGGGCATGTTTTTAAGAAAAGTGTATTGTTATTCTTAGGTATTATACACATTGCAGATCGCATTGAATCCGATAAGTTTTAAACATCTCGAATCATTATATCTGAGGCTGTTTAGCATGCAATCATTTCCTTTATATCCAATTGCTATATATATATTTTTTTTAATTCCTTAATGCTTTTATTTTTTTTTAATTTTTTTTCATTTGCAGCATATATATATATATATATTTTTTTTTTAATTCCTTAATGCTTTTATTTTTTTTTAATTTTTTTTCATTTGCAGCATATATATATATATATCTTTTTATTTTTTACACAAAACAAATATGTTCTAATATGCCGCTCATGGTTTGTAAGGTATATACAGAAAACAAATTTTCCTCTTTCTGGTCCGTTATCTCTTTTGGGGAATTCGCAATGAGTACATGAAATAATTCTCTCGTGCCATTTTGATCTGGCTAGCTACGTAAACTTTCTCATTACTTTAATGTTCTAAATGCTTCTATTCTTTTACTTTTAATTTGATTCCTCGGATGCGATTGGAAGAATTATGCCCTTTTTCTTGTCACTTGGCAGTGGCCCCCAAAGGAGAAATTTTCAAGTACTATTTTTCCAACCCCTATTATAAATGGGGTCATATTATTGTTGGCATCGATCTCTCTCGGAAGAGACATGATTTCTTTGGTGATCCATTAATATAGTGTTTCATGCAAATTAATGATCGACTACATGGTCCAACTTAAGCAACAATTATTCCATATCACCAAAACACCTTTTAGACTTTCTCTAATGCCGGCCTCCTGCGCCATCGATCTTTCATAATTTCTAGAAAGAGAAGAAAAATCATCACCCATATCCACGTACGCAAGTGATAATACATGTGTATATAGCCATAATCTTTTAAGTCCGATGGCCGGATGATACGACATGTGAAACTTTTTTTATATGAATTTTTAAGTGTAATATGGTAATATACTGAACCAAGTTACATGTAATATGAAATTAAAATTGCATTTTATCGAGTGTTATATAAACACACAAACGATATTACACGGACCAATAAATATTTACTGAACTAATACAACCACCGGACTGAATACATTTTCGTATATGTATATGTACTTCTTGTACTTCATCCATTTATACTCTCTTTACCAAACACTTGAACGATTCGTTGTAATATCTATTCATGTATAAGTTAGTTGATTATATATATGGTAGTAAACAATACTAGTATTTCAATTCATTTTCGTGTGATGAGAATTAAATAGTTAAGTGCATATCAAGTATTCAACTTAAGCTTGCACGGAAGTCAACCAAATAGAAATAGTCTAGTTATTCATTAGATTTGAAGGTCATTAGGAAAATTTTAGTATTAATTGTTTGGACTTGGTTAAAAAAGAAAAAAAAAAAAAAAGAAGGTGATCTCTTCCTTATACACAACCTTATAAGAAATGATCTCAATATTTATATATATATATTTTTTTTTTTTTTTGTAACTCGAAAACTAATTATCATACATTTTTATATTGTCGAGCTGAACAATTAAACTCGTCATAAATCTCAACATACAAACTCTTTTGTATACACAGAAATCTTTTTGAACCCACTTTATGAGTCTAAGTTAGAAACTGGCTCTCCAACAAATTTTACAATCTTTAAAAGGTAAAAAACTATGACTTTCATCGTGTAGTTGCCTGGTTCGAACCCCAGACCTTGACGATTCCAACCAATACCTCATATATATGGGTCTCAACATTACAAAACCTTATCTCTACAATATTGGAATACTTCTAGTTTTTATTTATTTATTTTGTTGCTAGGCCTCACGCGTGTGTGTGATGAGTAATTGTAATAATTGAAGCAAAAATCGATAAAGGTGCATAAAAAGTATAGAAGGAAAGAGTAGGAATGAGTGATGCTATGAATTAGTGCCGGTTGTCATTCACCGGTACTAGTTTTTAATCCATTATATGAACTTTAAAACCCAAAGTCAAAAATTATAATGACACAAAAGACCCACACAATTTTACATATATAATAACTTTCTAACGTTGAAAAATCAGACATAATTTCGTCGGCGATCAAATATTTAGATTTCTTTCATTTAAAAAATAAATAAATAAATAAATGAGATAATATTAGCTCGTAATGATACCTATTTTTCTCTCTTCATACCTTGAAGTTTCAATGAGGGCGTCAAAAACCTTCTTCTATAGCCACAATATACTTTACTAACAACAATCTCTTTTAGTAATTTCGTTTTCTTTTCTTTCTTTCTTTCTTTCTTTTTTTCCTTACCTTTTACGTGCTCTTTTTTCACTACCACATGCATGTACGAGTGATTCAAGTGGGCTAAGCGTTATGAGAAGAATTGGTGAACTACTTTTCTTTCTCAAATCAAATAATTATATGTAGAGTAAACGCGACGTGTATATATGCTGCCAATGAATACTAATTCTCTTTCCTGACGAGAACAACATTGCGGTCAAACCATGCGTGAATGTCATCCAGAAATATATCCTAGTGATGATACCACTACTCTTTGCTATGCTATAATATATATACCTATACATTATATATATATATATATATTTATATATATATATATATATGACCTTTCTAGAGTTCGTCTCATGCACGACTAGTATTTCTGCATATTATTATATTTAACAGACACGAACACGGTTAATAATTAATGATTTATCTCTATGATTTTCTCCAACTGTGATCTACCCGTTTCATTCTTCATGACATTTTCATGCTGTAGTCATCGTCACAATGGAACTATAAGAAAGCGTAATAGATGAGCCTTGACACCTTTTATATACGTTTATATTATCTTTTGTACGTACGCACACATATATTAATTATATAAGCACACACACATATATATATATATACGTATTATTCAACTCATATCTAACTGTTGGAGAGATTTTATTTTATTTATTTTATTTTATTTTTACAAATACAATTGGGTTTCCAGGTGGGTCTCCTTAGAATTGGTTGGACAGAGTGTCGACGTCTCGAAAGGGAAAAATCCCCCTTTTTGTTATTCTCTCTTTCACTTATAGGCTTCGATTCTAAAAGGAACTTTCTCTTAAATTTCAATATTGAGTTGTTAAATCGTTGTCTATTTCTTTGAGCTTCACGATTAAATTGTTCTGATCATTTCAATGCGGGTCTTCAGATTCACTTAAAACCTCCACACTTTACCTTTCCTACTTGTTCTCTCTCTACTGGCCCTTTTCTTAGGCTCTGTATATAAACTTAAGATTTCGGCTTTGAACTTCATTCTCTAGATCCTCTTGACTGCAACGTTATTTAACTTTATCGAATAAAATATTATCGTACAATCTTATTTGAAACGTCACCGTTGTGTCTAGTTCAATTCTTATCCCCACGCTAACTATTTAAACTAAATGTAGAATATGAAAAAGTCGTTTTAGACGAATTAATTTATTGGCTAATTAAAAAGAACAAAAAAAAAAAAAAAAAAATGATCAGATTTTGTTAAGCTACACGTTGTATATGTCTCCGAATAATAACGTTACACATCCACGAATTAAGTTCGGTGTCCATCAAATTTAGCCATTCTCTCTCACATTTAAAACAACGACTTTTATAACTACATTAACTGTCATTATTAATAATTTTTTCCATTGAAGTGTAATTGGATTTTGCCCGCGTTCTCAGCTTTTTTAATCTGGGTTATGAATTACTCCTTGCATTCCTCACACACACACACACATATATATATATATATATTTATATTATATAGACGTAAGTTCTACATGTTACACTTATTTATATAATATGCATACGTAGCCTGTATTACAGTGCTTATTAGACCAGTGCCGGCTCAAGGACAAGGCAACTTAAGCATTCGCCTAAGGTCAATATTTGTAAAGGTCTCTTTCCTCATCTTTAAAGCATCTAGGCCTTCCATATTTATCTTTAATTCCCAATGTCTTGTGTATATATGTACATACAAATAATGAACTGAATTCCGATATGGTTTTAATATCAAGCCTCTTAGTAATCTCTTTTTTTTTTTTTTTTTTTTAATGAAAATCCTTACGAGCATGTATAAAAAACTGTGAACTTGGAAAATTAATTCTATTTAAATTTACCTTGTATACATGTTCGTACACATATATGTTTGTATACACACACACAACTTGATAAGATGCACATTATATGTAAAAATGGCAAAAAATTATATATACGGAAAATTTTATACTGTACTTGCAAACCTAAAAAATCTATGTATCATTAGCGAAAGCTTTTGTTTTAGAATAAAAGTTTTTAATTTGAGATTAAAGTTATGATTTGAACTAATGTTTATTTCTCATCTCCAACTCTACAATTTTTTTTTTTCATTATTTAGTTTTAACATATATGCCCTAACTTGGAGAACATTCTAATAAAACCCAAATTTGTTGGCAAAATATAATTTGGGTTCTTGAATTTTGTTTGTTAAAAACTTAACGTGAAGAAGAATAATATTTGATAAATAAGAGAGTTTAAAAAAAAAACAAAAAAGATAAATAAGACATTTTATGATAGATAAACAATATTTGTCATGTGATTGATCATCAAATATTAATAGGGCTCATGTGAGCCGGTCCTGTATTAGACTGCCTGACTATCAATTTCTTTCATAGTTAATTATTTTTTCGTTGATATATATAATGCGGAAAAGATTCAAGGAATCGATCAAATTCCATAAAAAGTAGTTTGTCAACACGAAGATGATTGTGGGAGTTAGCTTTTCTTGGATCATGGGATTGACTTGGGATCATGTGTTGCACTAACTTTCATATCGACGATAATATAAAAAAAGTGATAAATAAAGCATATAAAAAAATATTCAGTGAAAATGCATAA